TCGGAAGGATGGAAGGCTGAGTCAACCTTGAGCCAGTGAGATTAGAACCGCTGAACTGCAGATAGCAGTCAGCTGAAGTGGCTGCAGTACTGCACCCTAACCACTGCGCCACCTCGGCTCTAAGACTCTGGACTTCCGGGTTGCTGCTTGTGAAGGGAGGCAGCCGGGGCAGCCCACTCTGCCATGCCACTCGGCAGAGAAGACAAAGGGAGGTAAGAGCCAAGTAAGGGGCAGCTCCACTTGCTAGTGGGAGTGAACCAGTTCACCCGAACCGATCCGAACCGGTAGAATCCCACCCCTGGTTCAAGCCCAGTGAAAACAAGAGACCTGGAGTTACCTTGGCCATTTAAACCGTTGGTGGCCCTGGTCAAGATCAATCTGTTCCCTTCTCTGCCCCCCATTTTGATTGCAAAACTTTGTCTTTCTTTTTCTCTCTCTCCCGCAAGTATTTCTCTCTTTTACTCTCCGTCTTATGATTTGCAGCCTATCTAGAAGACCTTGCCCGATGTGTAGAACAAAGCCGGCGTCTCCTGATCGTCCTCACCCCGGATTACGTACTCCGACGCGGGTGGAGCATTTTCGAGATGGAGAACCGGCTCCACAACCTGCTCCTCAGCGGCGAGATCAAAGTCATTTTCATCGAGTGCCCCCACCTGAAAGGGAAAGTCAACTACCAAGAAGTGGAAGCCTTGAAGCACAGCATCAAACTCTTCTCGGTCGTCCCGTGGAAAGGACCCCCAAGCAACAAGCTGCGTTCTAAATTTTGGAAACGTTTGCTCTACGAGATGCCAGCCAAGAAGAAAGAGGTGATCTCGCGGCGCCAAGTCCTGGATTCCGCCGAGCAGGGCCTCTTCGGGGACCTGCAAACAGTCCCTTCCATCGCGGTGACGGATACTTCGGCTACTTTGGTGTCCTCTCAGGCGGACTTGGGCAATTACCAGCCCGCCAGCGCGGCCCAGATGAGACACTACTGCAGAGGTTACGAGTACAACGTGCAGTGCGCCACCCTCCCGCTCTCTGCCCTGAGCAGTAACCACCACACGTACTGCAATATACCCCTGACGCTCCTCAACGGGCAGCTGAGCAGCAGCGTGAAGGATGTGCAGGACTTCCACAGAAACCCCCCTTTGCTCCCCTTGTCCAGCAGAGAACTGAGCTTCACCAGCGATATATGGTAGCAAAGATCCAGACTTCGCAATGAGCCAGAATTCCTTAAAATGAAAAACGGAGAGAAAAATTACCTTCAAAAACCGACGTCATCAGGTGCCAAACTCTTTTTGCCAAGTCACAAAGTAACTCGCTTTTATACTTGAACCTCTCTTTGTTTACATTTACAGAATTGTTAACAAGGGGGACGGGGGGGGGGAAGCTACTTTTTTAGCCAAGTTCTGAGTTTCCTGCCTTTTAAATGTACAGAAAGATTTGTGCTTTATTAGAGACAGACAGAGAGAGAGAGAGAGAGAGAGAGAGAGAGAATGAGAAAGAGAGAGAGAGAGAGAGAGAGAGAGAAAGAGAAAGGGGGGATATGGGATCGAATAGTATTTTGAAGTAAGTTGACAATGAGTTGACTTCAGAGGCTACATACAATAGAGTAAGACTCCATATTTATATATATATACATATCTATCTATCTCTCTATATATATTAGTACTTCAGAAGTTTAAATGGTTTTTTTTTTAAATAGAAAGAACTTAGGAAGCATACCCGTCATACGTGTGAAACACAAGTAGTAACAAAAAAAAAATGTAAGTCTCGCATTTCGAATTGTGCTCAAGGACCATTCCCATCCAGGTTGCCCTGCAGATCTGTCCAACAAGATTAACAAGCACCGTGTTGTTATGGCCGATGGACCACGCAAAGCAAGATGCTGACCTCTGGTTTGGGCTCTGCAATCCCCACGGCTGGAAAAGATTACCGTCCGCTCAACAATTCTTTGTCGTTTTGTTCTCCGACTAATTCTTCATCGTTTGTGACGGTCGCCATTGTGTTTCTCCAATTCTTTAGGAAGTTGACTGCCCTTTAATTTTCTGTAAGTTTTTGGGAAAACGTGCATTCATTCTGGTTTTCCGGGTGTCTTAGGAACTTCCTGTTGCATTTGACGTGCTGAGGATTGCAACATTGCTAAACAGTTTGCAGATTTGAACGTTTTCTAACCTTCTCAGCTCGCATACTAAACGGTCATATAAGTATCTGCACAGGATTGTTATTATTTTGGGTTTCTTTTTTCTTTCCAGGTAAAAAAGTATAACGGTTTAATGGCGTTTGATAGAAAAAATGCCAGCCCAGAAAAGAGAGAAAGGAACAAAACAAAAGACACACACACAAACACACAAAAAGCACAGCAATACTCACCAACAAAAGTGTTGAATTGTGTTGGTTGCCAGTCATAATAACATTTGCATCGATAATCATCGAAAAACGGCAGTAAGCATTTACTCTAATAAAAGGTTACTCAAGAGTGTGTCCCGGTTTCCGTCAGTTCTTACTTTCCTGGAAAAATCAAAATTGCTCTTCAATTTATCATTCCAAGCCGTCATGCAAACTTTTATTGTCTCAGGACGTGGAAAAACCGCCTGTTTGCTCGACATCTGTGTTACTTCTGTCATGTGTTTTTTTCTTCTGACGTGGTGGCTCAGTGGCTAAGACGCCAACCTTGTCGATCAGAAAGTTCGGCAGTTTGAACCCCTAGGGCCGCGTAACGGAATGAGGTCCCGTTACTTGTCCCAGCTTTCCTAGCAGTTCAAAAGCAGGTAAAAATGCAAGTAGAAAAATAGGAGCCACCTTTGGTGGGAAAGTAACAGCATTCTGTGCACCATTGGCATTGAGTCATGCTGGCCACATGACCACGGAGACGTCTTTGGACAGCGCTGGCTCTTTGGCTTTGAAACGGAGATGAGTACCACCCCCTAGAGTCGGGAACGACTAGCAGATGTGTGCAAGGGGAACCTTTACCTTACTTCTTTAGAGTAAGAAATTCGGATGTTAAGATGTGTTAAG